TAATAATAATAATAATAATAATAATAATAATAATAATAATAATAATAATTGCTTACACTTATATAGTGCTTTTCTGGACACTCCACTCAAAGCGTTTTACAGGTAATGGGGACTCCCCTCCACCATCAATGTGCAGCATACCCAAAGATCTTGGTTTCTGCTACAATATCAGAATGCTTTCAAAAAGCTTCTACCTGTTTCTGCTTTCCAAAACACGACTCCGTGCATTTGTCCAGAAACCCCTATCCCGATGACTTTTTGGAGTCTGTCTCTGGGCAAGGCAGCAATACACGCATCAAGAGTGCTTAATATTCTTCCCACGTCTTGCTCTTTCCCCTATATTATTAAAAAGTAAAGTAATGTAAATTTATTAAAAAGGAAAGACAACGGAAATTTTATGATTTATGAGCAGCCTTTCTGTTTTCTACAGCAGTTTCTTTTACTTAGTTAATTTTTGTATCAATATCTTCACCTATTATGTAATTCCATAAAGGAACTCTAACGTGTTTTTAAAAGTAAAGCAAGTTTTTTTTAAGAATCAGAATTTTTGTCATCTGATGAACTGGTTATGACCACAGAATTCCACAATGACTCCAAATTCCCAAATGTATAGAAAGATGTCTTTTTGATAGCTGTATACCTGTATTCTCTGAAATTGTTTTGTGTGCATTAATTTCCATGCAAATTAAACACACCCTTGATGTCCAGACACAAGACCCTTATAAGTTTTGCTTTGACAGAACCCCGGGGAAGGCTTTTGCAAAACATATTGTGTTACATACATGTGGCCCTATGTCGCTGGGGACGTCCGCCTTTGTCGGCAGAGCACAGCTGTCCAACACCCTCCTCGACTGGGATTCAAGCAACACCACCTTAACGGAGGTTGTCCCCAAATCCACACCAAGCACATAGCGAGCGGACAGCGCCTCGGACTCCATTTCTACAGCAACAAACCAAACCTTTTCCCGTCCTAAAGGAAAGATTGTCCTTCCACGCCACCGTAGTATTGGTCAAAGGTTAGTACACGTTTCGACTTTATTTCCAACAGAGAAAATGAAACGTGCAAATAACATATGTATGTATAAAAATGCTTTAGAAATGTATTTTTATTTGCCCCCAAATCAATTATATATATATATATTAAAATTGCTTAGGTTGGGTGCGAATGTCCCAGAACACACTGCGGGGTAAAGATGGCGGACTCTATGTAAGGCGGTGTTAAGAAGCGGTGTTTTTTCACAACCTTCTTGAGGCAATATCGTTTTCCCCTTTAATAACTGTGGATGCTTAATTACCACTGAAGATTCTTCGTTATTTATTATGTTGGGCTCGATTGTTTATTAAGAAAACGGAGCGCTGGTGTTGAATCGTTTCCAGACTTCTCTTCCGGTAAGCAACCTAGTACTCGGTAGCGTTCATAACGGGCATTTTAATATGTTTCAGTGGATATCGTTTCTACACTGGCTCAAGAAGAGAGCTGTAGCGCTTAGATAATATGTGAATATTTATGAATGATGGATCTCTAGGCTATAAACCAACTGTGCCTTTTCAGTTCAGGTTGAAATTGTGAAGTTGCTAACGGCGAATTTGACAAATATCCCGGAATCACGAATATGCTATAGAAAACAAAGACGCTACGTATTTATGAGAACAACGTGGCCTAGGTGCTGTTGTCAATTGAATGCATATGTAAGTAGTAGGTATTGGTTGTTTTATTTTCATGCAAATTATTGCTGATCTTGGTTTGGGGTGGCGGGGGGGTTCTGTGAGATTTGTAAAAGGCGGTGTTGTGCCGCTACAGGAATTAAAAGTTTTAAAACAAACAGGTTTATTTGTTTTCTAAAACTGGGAGATCAGGACCGTACCCCTTAACGCGGAGGGTTCGAGGGACAAGCTGCAACAGGGATGCCGAAACCCTGCCTTCGCTCAAGAAGCGAACCGCCGGCCGGCCTCCGCTCGTTTGTAACCTGCGTGTCCTTGCGTCCCCCCGTCTCTGCAGTGGGCGCGATGGCGGCTCTGGCAGCTAAACGAGAAGGACCTCAGTTCATCAGCGAGGTGGCGGTGCGGGGCAATGCCGCGGTGCTGGAGTACTGCAGGACCTCCGTGTCGGCGCTCTCGGGGGCCACCGCGGGCATCCTGGGCCTGACGGGCTTGTACGGCTTCATCTTTTACTTCCTCGCCTCCTTCCTCCTCTCCCTCCTCCTCATTCTCAAGGCTGGTCGCAGGTGGAACAAGTATTTCAAGTCGAGGAGGTTGCTCTTAACTGGAGGGCTGGTGGGAGGTCTCTTCACTTACGTTCTGTTTTGGACATTTCTTTACGGCATGGTGCATGTGTACTAATGTTCGTGATTCACTTCCACATACAGGCTTTGATGAGAAATCAAGGACACTTTTTAAGTTCGGGATTTTAATCAGTTTTTACAGCCTATATATAGTGTAGGTTGGACTTAATTTATGTTAGATATTCTGTGTGATTTCCACTAATCAAAATCAAACTTGAGCTACCCTTTTTTTTGCCCTTCTGTACTGAACTGAAATGTGAAATTACTGTAAGGAATTCAACCCCAGTTTAAATGGTTTAACACGGTTGTGTGGTGTGTGGTCTTTTAGTTTTGGAAACATTAGTTCAGATAATTTAGAAAAATAAATAACTTATCCACGTTATGAGATGGTCTGTGTGTGGTAACTACCCTTTCTAGCTTTCCCCAATAAATCTTATATTTGAAAGTTGGATTGCTTTTAAAAACATCCAGAATGCTTTTCCTAGTGGATAAATTGATGGCTTCTGAAATGTCAACATCTGAGTCAGTGTGCTTAATGCACATTATTAGTTTTATGCAAATAATATCAAACAGACATCTGTGCTGTCTGCAGGTTAAAAGTATATTTCAAATCATGTACGTTTCTCTATTGATAAGTGTGTGTGTGTGGTCAGCCAGTCCTAAAAAAACCCCTGCACTTTCAAGTAGCTAAGAATGAACATCTGTTGCACTTAGAATTCTGTGAACATGAAGAAGGCTCCACAGCTGAAATGCTACATTTCTTTTCTTCTGTTTTCAAAATGGACTAAACCTTTACTTGTTCCTATACATCATATTGTACATGTACAACATAATATTCTACCATAAAGTACACAAGATTTCTTCAAAACTGTTCTGGATACTTCACACAATGACTGTGCACATATGGGTAAATTTTAGGCCTACAAGAGTTGTAGGTCTTTTTATTTATTTTATACAGATACCAAGAAATCAAATGAACATAACGTGTATGATACAAAAAACTGTATTAAAAGAAAAGTTAAAAAGAGAAAATGAAATAAGAGTAGGAAAGGCTTATTTTAGTTTTACAAATCTAAAGTTCCATGGCTATCTATGGAGCCTTTAGTAAGGGGTTTGACTTTTTAAGGTGTGTTATACACTTTCATATCCAAGCCTAATGCAGTACAGTAGTTCTGATGGCTATTAAATGGACTTTTAATCTTTACTACCAGATTTTCAGAACAGAGGCAGCTTTACAAAACAAAAGTCAGACAGCTGACTCCACTGCCAAAATGTTATGTTTCGTTTCTTTTCTGGTGAAAATATTTGTATTAGAATAAATGTGACAAAACCAAAGCAAATAATTGTAAAGCATTAGAAACCACATGTTGAACACTGGCTTGGTTTCATACAGAGCACCATTAATTTTAAATACTTTTATGGTAGCTGTTAACACAACTGGAATCTGTTGTTTTGCATTCCTCGTTCATCTTATAAAGTTATGTTACAAACTTTCATAACATGCTCTCATTAAGGCTTAAAAATATCACAGTAATTCAAAGGTCACCTGGAGAAGCTGCAGGACCACAATTCTACTTTTATGCAGTTCTGGTGGATTTGCAGTTTGTTAATACAACTTTTCTTTTTGAATAAGTAACTTTAAGTAGGTTATATCAGCTTTTACATGAGACCAATCTTCTCTAAGGAAAGTGATCATGTCTAAAATTTCATAACTGAATTGTTCTCCCTGTAAACATTAACCCCTAAAAATTCACTCAGGCAATGAGTGCCCATGAAAGTCATGTTTTTATTAGAAGCATTTAAAAAGATCAACATGCTTGGGTGGGGGTGTGACCAGGGAAACCATTTTTCTGCTTGAATCGGTCATTTCAAGTGTAAAAAAAAAAATCTTTGGTTTTTATGTACTGATGATATAAAATACTCCTCTTCAACGATGGTAAAAAGTTTGGTAAAATTGATAAACTACAATACATGAAATATTTTATAACTTGGTTCCCCATAAACCGTGAAGGCCAGTGTGTGGGAGTAAATTAATTTTATGGTAAAAATTTGAGATCTTAAGTCCTTTATCTGAATTGGAACAGTACAAAAAAAAAATCTGACTTCAAATAAGCCATTATGCATCATTACATGCAGTTTCCTTGATCTGTATTTTAATGTTTACTGTGCAAAATACTTGAAGTCTTTTTGTAATCACTAGAATGAGTAGTTACAGAAGTGACAACATCGTCCATCCGTCCATCGTCTAACTGCTTCTTCCAATTCAGGGTTGCAAAGCGCAAAGAGTCTATCCAGGCAAGCAACAGGCACAAGGCAGGGTAAAGTTCATCACAGGGCACGCGCACACTTACACCACAGCCGGTTTCCCAGAAGCCCAGTTGGGAAGGTTTGGGAGGAAACCTGGGGAGAACATACAAGCTCCACACACATAGCAGCCCAGGTCCATAATCGAACCCAGAGCCCCAGCCGTCCAAGGCAGCAACGTTAACCACTGAGCCACTGTCGCCCCCAACAACGCCCTATTAACGCATGAGAATGTATCTTCCTGCATTACCAAAGGGTAGACTTTGTTTTCCATTTTTGTCACACATATGGTTTTATTACCGTCCATCCTCTTCTGAACGACCTGTTGAAAATGCACTTCGTTCCGCAGCCTGCAAGTGTGCAAAGAGGACCGATGACGCGTAAGAGTCCCTCCATCTCTTCATCTCGCCACCTTGCGCCCTAGCGATTGGCCCTAAAGGTCAGGTGGGCATGGACCGCAGCCTGTGGCCTTTAGGAAGTTAAGGCTGTAGCAGCCTTCCTGAGACACAAACCCCTTTAGCATTGCTAGAACACGTCCCGTTTGCTCTTGAACGGCCGGCCGGCTTTCGTTAGAACAGTGGGCTGTTGGTGCTGGTGTTACTCTAAGTCATGCATCACCCTGCTTCACATTCACAACGCTTATAATACAAATGGAAGAACCGGCAGCAGGAGAGCTGGGGGGAGGGAGCCCAGTGTTTTCCTCCCAGCCTGGAGCGTTCTCCTCCGCTGGAGTGGGAGTGGATGGGAAGCCTTTAAAGAGACTCCTGCCCAGCGCTGCCAGCGTGTCCCACCAGCTCAGTGCTGGCAGAAAGGAACCAAGGCTGCCCGGCCCGGCCCGGTCACCGAGTGCCCCGAGGCGTGGACGCGGGCATCGGCACTGGCTCGGACCGCGGGAGCCCCGCTGCTGGCGCCCTGCGCCCCTCGGCTGTCGCTGGCTAAGACTCTGGCGACAGGTCGGTCAGCTGCACGCGCTCGGGGAGGCACTTGTTGCTCTTCTCTTCCTTTCGAACCCCTTCGCCGTTTGTCTTGCAGTTCCTGCAGGAGAGAGGTGCAGGTGGGGCGCAGCGTCGGAGGGGGCATTGCGCCACGTGCAGCTCTTTCGCATTTCATGAACGTAGGAGCATTTGGCAAAAGATTTTTGTATTTAAAAAGATTTCGGAGCCTGATATACTGAGGAGAATGTAGTTCAACATCAGTGAAAATAAGCCTGCTTGTTATTATGTGCTGCTTTAAATGTTTAAAGATGTATGCCTGCATGTTTCAGGTAAATACTGTCAAAATAGCCCGAACTCTGTGTGATTCAGTTTAGCTCTAGGTAGGGACACACAAAAAGTCACCACTTAATTACAACTGAAACTTACACATTTACTGGTGACTTACATATTCAAAGTTAAACGTGTATATTTTAAGGGACTTACTTGGCGCTTTCAAATTTCCGCGCTCTGTAAAATGTGCTCTTCTTCATCATGTACAACAACACCAGGTCACAAAAGAAGGCCCCCTGAGACAAATCATTAGGGTTACTATCGATTTAAGTGTCTAGTCCTCATTATTAGAATTGATGTATTTAAATTTAAGTATATTAAGAACACTATTTAAATTACACAACATTTAAAATCTATAAATTCCCCTGGAACAGATATGCCACAAACATTCAATAATCTGTATTTTACTCAGATCTGTGATTTGTGGTGGTAGTACTGTAGCTAGGACTGAAAACTATGCTGAACTGGCCTATATGTGGCGTCCCCGTGTGGTCAGATTGATAGACACGCCATCTATTAATAGGCGAAAAACCCTTGATTCATGTTAGAATTAGTTCATGTATTGTATTGTTCATGCATACTCACAGCGCCCATTAATGCCAGCCCAGAGCCAACATTGATGATAGTTGGAATTATATTGAACTTTCCAGCCTGAAACAGTCAGGGGAAAAAGAGACAGCAATGTGACTCATTTTCAAATCGGAACACCGAACTCAGGATCACAAAACAGCATTACAGGTCGTCTCGTACCTTCCCATTCACCATGATGTCAAACCGTATCCCATACGCCTTTGTGAGATTTCGAAATTCCGCTCCTGTGGCGTCTCTGAAATATTTGACGTATCTAGAAAAACAAACTAACGCCTGTCAGGAAAGACCTAAAATAGGTCGAGCTACATTTTTTTTTCCAGGACCCAGAGAACTGTAATAACCCTGAACAGAGTTTACTTTTTCCCCCCCATCTCTAAATACAGGATTTAGAACTACGTATTAACTGAAAGAACATGAGTTTAAAAAGGTCCTAAACCTGACAAATCATTTTATGAAAACATCATTGCTCTGTGTCTATTGTACAGTCAGTGTTACATATGACAATCTGGGAACACAAAAAAAAAACGTAGTATATTATTGATATTTTACAAAAATGTATATATTTAAAGACTAATGTTTCACTCCAGGGTTTTACAGTGTTGGTGAATGCAGGTATTCCAGTGATGGCGATCTGCAGTACCTGAAGTTGTATCCAGACGTGACCGTTTTGTTCACCGACGCTGCATCCAGTCGAATGAAGGAGTAGTGGGGATCACACCCCGAGAAGCCCTTGTCTAGGTCGCAGTTCCATTCAATCAGCACGCCGATGGACCCCCCCTGCGCGACACACATTCAAAACATGCACCCGAATACACTGAGGTACAGCCTGTGGCTTCATTAGACCAGGTGTCTTCTGGTGTGTTAGAATATGCTGACACGCAGCACAGTACCTTTCCTCAGCATTTCAATTTTTGTCAGGTTTTCACGAGGAAAGGAGAGAGGAATTCCAGTGCTCGTGTGGATTAGGACACATTTTTAACCCAGACTTCTGACGTGTTTCCATTTCCTTCTTGAAACAAGAGATCCGGGAAGCAAAAAGCAAAGAACCAGCACAGGACATTAACACTAATCAGGTGATGGCACAGTTACTGCTGCTGTTCCAAGATCTTGTGCTTATTAGTCCATTAAGGGGAAAAAAGTAAATAAGACTCCCCCCCCCAATTTTGCCACTGAGTGTTTTGGAACTTAATTATCCGTTTTAAGTGCTTTAGAGAAGTCAGGACACTCACCAGTAGAGCCATTTCGTGGAAGTCATGCCCAGCCCAGTGAACCAGATCTCCCAAGCGAAAGATGGGGCAGTAGGGATGAGAGATTTTATTATATGAACAGTTTTTCAAATATGAATCATCCTCTGTATCCAGCACATTAGACCTGTTAGACACATTAGACACAGAAACAAAATCAATCAGACACCTGGGTCTCACAACTACGGTATACAGTATGTGAACGGTCTTGATTCAGACAAAGTGCATGAAGTCATTCAATATTATTAATGGGAAACCAGTTAAAAGCCATTTGCCATTCAGAACTTTGCACATAATTTCCTGACGGCATAAAAGAGTTTAAAGTTTGGACTAAGTCAGTAATTGTAGCTTTTTCGCTTTGACGCCAGCCAAAAAAACCTGCTTGTGTCTGAGGCATGCCAGTGACAATGGGAATTCAGATGTTTTTTTACAAAAAAAAACAGATTTGACAGTTTTAGCATGCACTTTCAACACCTTTCTGGTTGTGTATAAATAATTCTGCTTGACTTTAAAAATCTGAAAGGTTTAACCACGTCTCCTCTTAGACATCTACTGAGGTTTTTTCCAGTACTTTAGTGGCGCCATGCAGTTTCACTTGATATTTGTAAAGAATGATTGTCTAATGAACACAATGATTCAGCAGAATACGGTACATCCACAACACCGGTTCGTGTCAGCAGAGCGGAACGCAGTAACACTGGAACCCAGAACGGGTTTGGAAAAAGGCCAAGGACAGAGGCAGCTGTCTGAACACAAGGACAGACCAACAACATCAGTAACATCTTCCTTGACAAATAATCCATTCATTTCTTCTATTATCGATCATTTAATTCAGTCCTGGCTGGGCTGTTTATTCAGTGTATGTATTTATAAATGCGGCTTACTTTGAGAATTCAAATTTAGGGAATCTGATGGTGTTTTTAATGTAGACTGTGAAATTTGCAGCTTTTCCTAACAAGGGTTTCCTGAAAGACACAAAAAACAGCTTTAAGATGTTTTGTATTTTCTCAATAGTAATCCTATTTTTTTGCTGTATACACAGTTACGTATAAACATATTTGTTGTATATAAAAGGGTACCTTTTACTGTACAAAAACCATTGTGTGCTATAGGCACTACACACAGGATAGGGTATATAGTCAAGATTTAATACAAATGAGGGGATTAAACAATATTTTGACAAGATTGTACTGAATTCCCCATCTTTTAGGTAGCTGTGCTCAAATATGCACACATCTAGGTAGCTTTTTATAAATTAATGTCACATAGTCTTTGTTAAAAAAACACCCTTGGACCCAAATACATTTCACCTCAATGAAAAACAGTGAACCTTTAGGTTTTGGCTACAATAAATACATATTCAAATTACAGTTCTCTATCCTTGTCTCCAGTTTGCAGATTTTATCTGTGAGCCTATGAGTAGTCTTTCTGAGTAAGGAACAGCAGCAGTGGTCTTACTCAGCTTTTCTGGATCTTTCAATGGGACACCAGCCGAATATCTCACAGGTACCTGTTGTATTTGGACCTGTTTTCAAACAGCGGCCAGTTTTTATTCCTGCAGCGAGAAGAAATATAGTTAACCACCATGTTCTTCATTCTGCCTTCTATATTTCAGTTTTCTTTGCTTACTGTCACATTTACGTGTATGTTTGCATCCTTGTTTTTCTCTCTATGGTGACATGCGCCAGGAAACTGAGATATGCCAACATTTTACCCAGCCACCGAGTATAAATGACAACTGCCTGTTATTTATTCCATACCATGACCAGCAATGACTTCGGTGTCGGGAATACAATCTTCATTCGTTCTGCACCAGCCATCACGAACCCTAGGGCTCTGAAAAGATGCAAAAAAATAAATGCAGGCACCCATCTTTATACGTGTTGTGCTATCATGCAGCTCACAATTTGTGGCAGTTAATAACCGATGTTCTGGAGGGCTAACAACAAGTCAATCTCACACCATCAACACTAAACTAGCTACATAAACCGAACTCGGATGCCTCCTTTCATATTAGTCTCAATCTTCCCTCCTCTGTCCCATCTCCACCTTACAGCTGCCCCTTGGGTCACTCTGTCTGAATGGGGTTCGAGCCTCCTTGTCCTGTGTCCAGGAGGCTGCCCATTAACCAGCCAAACTTTTCTCACCAAACAGTCACAAGTATTCAATCCTTGTATGTTGTTGTCTCTAGTGAACTATGTAATGTAAAAGGAATCTTTTGGATCTCCATGGCGATGGTCCTATGTGGCATTTTGGGTTATATCTGCCACTTTGTTGATTAAGGCTTGCCATTTTATAGAAGGATATATATAAACCAGACTTGATCACAGACATTGTATTCTAGGAAAACAGTTACCTGGTTCCTAATTGTGAAACACTGGGGTTTGCAACTGGAGTTTTCTTACTCACTTCTGAGCAATTGCACCGTAATGTCTTTGTACATGGCTGTTAAATGGGATTAGTAGCCTAATTCTCTTTCAGCAGAGATCAGCCTTTCTTGTGAAATACAGCTAAAACACAATTTCACATGTCATCTGGGCAAGGCTGTAGTAATTAATGCTTCATTCTGCAGCAAATGTACACCTTTTAGAGGAAGTTGGATTGAGTTTCTATGATTATTTTGTATTATGTACTCTGGAACCTGTTTTCCTGTTTTTTTTAAACCTCCCTGGTTACATGGAATTGAAGTGTCTTTAAATTAACAATGAGATAACTTTGTTTTGTACAATGATATGAGGAATAACGTTTAATATTGTTTTGTATTAGAGAATAACAAAATTCAGAGAGTTTGGTGAAGATAAATCTATCCATCCATTTCCGAACCCCTTTATCCAAGGGGGGCAGCGGGCGCAGTGCAGAAAAGGGCATCACATCACATCACAACACATCTATCCATTCGTCACAGGTCACACACACTCACACCAGAGCCAATTCTTCCAGAAGCCAGTGATCTACCGTATGTATTTGGACTGTGGGAGGAAACCCATGCAAATATGGGGAGAACATACAAACTCCACACAGATAGCACCACATGTTTATATAATTGAACCCAGGGCCCCAGAGCTCTGAGGCACTGATGCCCAAGATGGATCTAATGCACTACAAGTTTCTTGACACCTGAAGAAGGCTCCACAGCCGAAGCGTAGCGTTTCCCTTCTTCTCTTTTCAGCATTGAATAAGCCTTTACTTGCTCCTTTACAAATTTAAAACTGCCAGCAACATGCAGAAATCATATGAACTTGTAAACAGTGTCCTCTCATATCACAGCAATGCCACACAAACATGCCAGGAAGAATAACGTGTTGAACCATTCAGCCATTCAAGCCACGCTGAACGTGAACACTCCATGTAAGGAGCTGAGGGACTGGCACCAATTGTACGCTTGTTGCCATGGAATGAAACACTATACAGCAACTCCCCATGTCAGGGCTCATTATCACATGTGTGACCAGGCAGGCAAGCTGTATAAGCTTTATTCTGTGCAATGGCTGACATTCAAAGAGAAACTCATCTAATTCAAGTGTCAGAGTCATGCAGTGGCGATTTCAGCGGACTGGGGTCGATAAAGGAAGAGACCAAGCTCAGCTTCACAGTCCAGTACAGTCTGACTTGAATGTTCAGAGAACTGGGCTCCCTCGATCCCGTTGCAGAATTCAGAGCTCTGGGGTCCTGCTGTGCCCGTGGCTTGACAGCATCTTGCAAAAATTGTGCTCTTTGCACATCAGTGAATTGTGTATTGACTGCACAGTAACTGTCACGTAAGGGAATGCAGGTGTCAGCATCATCCCAGACCTGAATAACATAGGTAATAAAATGACTAGGGAGTTTTATGAAAATTTATTGCCTCCAATCTAAGGGAGAGAACTCTCTGGGGAAAGATACTGTATACTGAACAATAGCCTATTTTTCTAATGTTTATGGCAAGGTACAGCACACACACAGACAACCTGACTGCTGTTAATCGTTAAACCAGCTGAGTTACTCCAGTAATGCTCAGTACTCAAATCATGCCTCTTTTCCACCTTAATTAGAGTTTGTTCTAACTACTGAATTATCTAGTGGGAGATTTAATCAGTGGCTAAAAAACAAAATGAATTTTACATTGCTTACCTCTGCACAGTATGTTAGTTTCTGGTTTGGAGTTTCTATGAAGTTTGTAACAACGGCGAAAACTCTTTCCCCCTGAAAGATGAAGTAATAACAAAGATGAGAAAATATTATTGCTTCTTTAAATTTTATGTAATGAAATAACTGCTAAATTAGCAAACACATTCATCTGAAAGTGTTAGACAGCAATAAAATAATGCAGTCTGTTCCTGTTAGAAACTTACAATAATTCCAGTTTTATTTTCACATTAGGATCTCAAATTGAAATATGAAATTTGAAATTGAAGAAACCCCTTCTCCTTGTTAAAAACTGCTAAATGCGAATCATCAGTCCAATAAATGAAGCCTGCTTTTAAAACTAAATAATTATACAATGACTCCTATTTACTTGAAGTCACTTGAACAATATTTGGGTGTACTGTCATAAGAGCAGAGTCAACACGTGATTCTAGGAAAGTCCATAGTGGTGCCCCTTACAGTACACTTAGATTAGAGCATTCATTATACGGATGAGTAATGGAAATAGTTTCTGAAATTAATTTATTTCTTGTCAGTTTTCGCTCTTCACCAGGGAATAAACCTTTACTTGTCCCTTTGCAGTCTACGCATGCTGACGCAGCTACCCACCTGAACTACAAAGATTTTATTTCTTTAGCCTGTCAATGTAGGACATTCCCTTCAGCTCGGATATGTTCATGGTCACTTTTCCTGGGCAGATTCCAGAGCAGCACGTGTCCTAGGATTCTGTTTGCTTGTTTATGACTTTCTCTGCCTTTTCAATGTTGACTTGAGTAGGATGCGTCAACAAATTTAAATCATTTTCAAGGTTACCTCTTTTAAGGTCATTATTTCCCACGTTTTACTTGTGAAAAACCTCACAGTCACTTCAATCCATTCTGCCAAATACTGACCTGTCATCTTACAGCACAATTTATAATGCGCTTTGTAATTTATTTTCTGTTCAACAGAGTTATTCCATGTTCTTCTTTCATGTTGAGAGAATTTTATTTTATATGGAAAGCTATTCTGAACTTTGAACTGTATCCTCACTGTATCATACACCTACAGTAATACCATCAGCACTAAACTGAACTCAAACACCTCCTTTTGCATTCTTCTCAATCTTCCCTCCTCTGTCCCATCTCCACCTTACAGCTGCCCCTTGGGTCACTCTGTCTGAATGGGGTTCGAGCATCCTTGTCCAGTGGCCAGGAGGCTGCCCATTAACCAGGCTGGTTCAGCCAAACTTTTCTCACAAAGTAATCCAGGCATTTACAAAGCTTTCAATCCTCGGATATTCCCGTGCCTGGTGAAATATTATTTAATACACCCTGTGGATTTTTATTGGACTTTTGTTCCATTACTGTGAACTCAAAGGTTTCCGGAGTGTTTCAGCTTCGTGGCCCCAGCCAAGGAAGATCATTGAACTCCAAACCCGAAGCAACATAGCCCTGAAGCCCCACCTGTACCCAGCAGGGCAGTCTTCAGTGTGACGGGGATAAACTCACCCGTGAGGGAATGACGTAGTCCTCTGGTCCCCACAGGTGGAGGCTGCTGTCCGAAGTGTTAGTGAGAACCACTCCCTTCAGCTTCGTGACCACCGAGCTCTGGATCGATTCCTCCGTCTCCTGGTAACCCTTTTTTGTTATGAAGACCCATCTGTGCAGGAATGGACAATACAAAACATCCGTAAGACCACTAGAAAGAGGATGGCCCATCTAGCCTCTGAGGGAGTAGTTAACTAATTCCATCCAGCAGGTTCCTGAAAGAAGTCAGGATATCAGCTTCAACAACGTGGCTGGGTAGACTCCCAGCAACCTTCAGGTTAGGAAGTGTCTCCTGCCCTTAGTTTTAAGTGCACTTTCACACAGCTTCCACCTGTGTGCTCCGATTCCTGTTCGATCCTGTAATTGATTTTGAAGATTTGCGAAGCCTTTGAAGATTTTCAATTCTTGTGTCAGGTCCCCCCGTAATCTTCCCCATGAAAACCAAAAGCTTCCCCTTAAATATTCATTTCATACAAGTGCTTAACCGTGTCAGGACATGACCATGGTTTGGGCATTGGACATTCAGTACAGTTGATTTATTGTAATATTCCAGCAAGGCAATTTGAGAGAGTCGGTAGTCAGTAACTATATACTGCACAGTCTTAGGGACAACGTTTTCAGTCACTTGGTACAAATACATCCAGTATGGAATACTGCACTAAACAAAGATCCATATGGGATCTTCCTACATCTGCAAAGACCCTGTGATGTTACCCGATACATAATGGTTACAATACCACCATCAACATGAATTCACCTGCTGCTCGTTTTACCCGTTTGCAACCACATGTTCAGATCTCTTCAAACCTTAAAGGAAAAATAAAGGATCTGAAAAGATATTTAAGGTGCCTGTATCTTCTCCATTTCATTCAGCATTTGCTGAATAGAATAACCGATTATCTTTTGACCTCCTGACTAAAGTAACCTTGTATGTTTGTAGGATATTTAACTTCACTCCTGAGTAGTTTTGTTCCTATTTCATGGTACAGCTGTCTCAGAACAGCCAAAAGCCTGATAAAAGAGTCTCAAAACTGTGCTAACAAAAGACATGCACATGTTTTCGATTCTCCAGCGGTAAGGCCGTTTTCCCACAGTGCACTGACAGTCTGCACAAGCCAGGGTTTCATGGCCGGGCTGTTAATTTAGAGCTCACAGAGTGACCTCAGTAACATGCCTCTAGTCTCACACCATTCCTGATCACCCTTGCTCATGTTTCCTGAAACAATATGCAAAATACTGTTTCCAGTTGATGATGTTGACGCCCACAGCAATACGCCAGTTGTTGCCAGGGGCTTCTGCTGTAGCATTTGCATGCAAGTAAATTTCATAGCACCGGGATAGGCGTTTCCTAGCATGAAAGAAGATGCGTAACATCACAAATCCATGGAGTGATGTATTATCCAATCCAAGAAATATATAATATAATCCTATCACAGGTGGGCAGAAACTTTCATCACCCTCAATAAGGAAATAAAAACACCAACCCCTGTGTGAAGATAATTAAGAAAAATACCCAGAAGGCTTCTCATCAAGATAAATTTGTTATATGTATATAGCATACAGGATGTCATGGTAGCACAGTACTTAGCATTGCTGCCTTGGGTTAAATTCCTGGGGTGCTGTATGTGTGGAGCTTGTATGTTCTCCCCACGTTTATCTGGGTTTCCTCTCACAGTCCAAAGACATGCTGGTAGGTTAACGGTCTTCTGCGTGTGTGAGTGTTTGTACACTCTGTGAGTGTGTGTGAGTGTTTGCAGTCCCTGCAATGGACTGGCATCCTGTCCAGGATATACCCATTGCTTGCTGGGATAGGCTCTGGCCCCCCTGTGACTCGGAATTGAGCAAACTGGTAAGAAAATGGGTGGACGGATATATGCCGTAGCACTTTTCAAAATTCAGAGTGGCGTAGTTATTAGCATTGCTTCCTCATAACTCTTGGGTGCAGGATGCAGTTCTGGACCGGGAATTATGTGCACGTCTTACGTGGGGAGTTTGCATGCTCTCCCTGTCTCTCTTTGGCCTTTCTCGATGTTGTCCAGTTTCCTCGTGCACCACAAAAACATACATACTGGTCGGGTTAACTGCGGTTTCTAAATTGTTGCTGTAAGTATATATATTTTTAGCAATCTTTGTGTTGCTTCTACATCAAACTGTAGGAGATCGAGGAGTGGACGAGGAGTGTCATCTCTAAAAATAGAGCCTTAAGATTAACAGAGAATGATGACACGGTAGAAACCGGTCTCTTGTCGACAGAGCACTATTCTCAAAGTTCAATTTCCTTAAATTCCTATAGTGAAAATGCGTTATGTCTATTCAGAGACTCGGTTTGGGGGATTAAAACGCTTAATACAAGCTTGATTTCCGTCCAATTTAGGCTTCAAAAGAGCAGGACCTGCTTCAGTAATAGTAACACATTATCAGAGTCCCTAACCAAGGTGAACTGCACCTCAGGCTGAATTCATTGCTTGACTACCGCAGTGTCATCTTTCAGCACGTCTCCAAACTTAAAGCTGCTTTGACATAAGTGGCGTTTACTTATGTCAGTCACAGGCACTGGAACTCGAAGCGTGGAAATGGCATTAACCGGAGCTCCTGAAGGTTATGCAAACGATATGGAAAATAATTTTAAAATAATCGGTATCTTACCCGACGATGTATCCCAGAATGGCTAGCTGGACGACTCTGTATAATATTCCGACTTTCTTGTTTTGCGCAATGACATATTTTTCCGTCTTGTAATCAAACACGGAGAGGAAAAAAGACTTCCAGCTGTCCTCTGCCATTCCGTCCCCTATTCCGCAGCTCGGCAACCTGAGACAGCACTGAAGACAGAGGTCCTGGTGCAGTAAGCTCAGTATCTTCTCTCGCCGTGCCGCGTTAAAGGCACAGTATCTCTTCAGCGTCAGGTGGCGTGGGGTGATCTCTTTGGGTGGACGTATGATATTGTCCTCTCTGTGTGGATTTTAAAGTGTTGGCGAAGTGTTACGGTGAAAGGTCTTTGGGATCGGATTACACGGATATGCGATTCCTATTGTTAAAACGTAGGTGTTGTAAAAAATAGCATTGTTTGTTGAACGACATTCTCTTATCAGCTACCAAGGTGTATTCATTCAAAACCACTTTTTTTTATTCAGGGTTTAGAAAGAGACGGTACTCAAAAACGCTTGTTAAAGTAGCTCTCGGTTTGCTGATGCCCTTGGATCGTCAGCCACTTAATATTATGTTCCGTGGATTTAAGTGTAAAGTTTGAGTGTCTATTACAGTATCCTCCTGGATCACACGAGCAATTGTCACTGCCGTTTTCTCTCATTGGTTTGACTCTTATCTGGATACCCAGAGTTGACTCTTCTAAATCAGATTTCGCTCACTGCTTCTGGGCGTCCCTCAAGGCACTGTGATGGGATTGTAGTATTTACATGCTGCATCTCGGTCAGATCATTCGCCATCGTGGATTTGGGTTTGACCGCTCTTACTGAGGATGCTCAGATTTGATTACAGAGCAAATCAGGTGCGACTACGGTGTTTGAGTGGTGAACCAGTGGTATGGAGGCAACGGAGCTTTCTTAAACTGAACTATGACTGAGGGGTTGTCTTCTTAAGCCTTCAACCACTTGAATTGCTCCAAATATTAAACAACTCGGTTTATTCTCAGATTATGACATGGCAAAGTGAGACTTGTTACGCAATAGCAGAGAGGACCCGATGCAGAAAACCAGAACGATCTCCAGAGGCGTAGTCGATATAACAATCCGAGGTCCGAAAGCCGCAGGTAAACAAGCCGGTGCAAAAGTACAAAACCAGAAGCGGAGCCGTAAGGAGAGTCGAAACCAGAACGATAAGCAATGTACCAAAAACAGGAGACGTAGTCCGAGAACAAACCAGGGTCAGGAAGCCAAAAACCAAGTAGTAAATCGTAGCGAAAATGGGAAGTGGCTCTAGCCAGGAAAAACCCTAATACTGAGCCCAGGAGAAAGTGTGAAACAGCATTAAATAGGCTGGGGTAAATGGGCTAATTGGAATGCGATGTGGAATGATGAGTCCTCCGGGGGCGTGGCGTAACAAGATTTTATCATTTTACTTACCTGATTCAGCAGATGGCTACATGTACCCCCTTCTTTAAGCAGAGAGGCATAATCTTTATCACCAGAGTACATTTTTCCCAGTGAAGAGTGTTTGATATGACTCTGTTTCCAGTGTCTATAGAAATGTCCTTTAAAGGCTCACTCATGCTGCAATAAAATTGGTTTGTCATTATCACAGATTGAGAATGCATTTGTCAATCTGAAAGGTGGTAATTCCGCAAGGTGGATAGTGCCATTTCCATGGTCCACCTGTTTTCTACCAGTAGTGAGGCAGGGTGTGACGGGAGTGAGCTATGAGATCTGTTTTGTGTACATGAGCTGTGCGGTATAAATAAACTCTGGAAATAACCTGAAGCTGCCTGCAGGGATACGTCACTCCAGACAGGAATTTGCTTTCCAGAGGACAGCTGCGTGTGTCAGCAAAAAGCATAGCCGATGCACCCAGGATTGTCACTCAAAACAGCACTGTGGTGAAGAATGCAGTCTGAAGTAGAGCTCTGTCTTTATGTGCTAAGCATGCATCACACAGACTATATATAAAGTCTGGTAAAACCATTCGGAATCGCCTGTTCTTCTTACAACATCTTGTTGAGTACAAACCTGGGCTGAGACAGAGACAGGCTACAAAGTGGCTTTATTTCCATCAGCCTTTCCAAAACAGAACAAAACAGTAGTTATTTTTTCCCCAGCTGTTATAATTACCGAACATTGCAAGAACTGTAATGAGCAGCTCATTTTTTTGCCTCTCAGACTGTGGCCACAAGTGACATGCAGAGAGGAGGGAGGAGGGAGAAGGGAGGAGAAAGACCAGCTGAAAAGAAAGCCACTCATTCAAGGGATCCCCGTTACGACACTGCACCACCTGAAAAAATATCTCATTCCAAAAATAAATGTTGCTTTGCCTAGCAGAAGGTGTAAATTAAGTTATTAAAAATAGTAAATGAGGTAAATCTATGAAATCACTTTGTTCATATCTTCCCTCTAAAAGGAAACCACGCCTGGCAGATTTGAGTCTTGGGGGATCACATTTA